CTTCTTTGTTGTTCATGTTCTTTTCATGGTTGAAGAAAGCTGAATTTGGGAAAAATGTATTATTGAGTGAGATTAAGGACCATTTTTCAGTCCTTTCTAGTTTCCATTTGTGTCTGAGTCCTCCATAAAAGTTTTAGGTCTACTTCTCAGCTTTCCAACCCATCCTCTTGTGTCCAATTTGGAGATACATAGCTCAACTTATGATTGAAACACCCAAACTGACTTCTATTATGATGGGCCACATGCATCACTGAATTGACTGCCCATTTTGACCACTATAATGACAAGATTATGTTCTTAGTTCTTTATGAGAGTTGTTGAACTGTTTCTTGAGACTTCTCTGGTTTTGGATTGATTTAATTTGAGTGTTTGATTAAGGAGGAATTCAATAAACATTGGACTTGGTTCTGCTAAATCGGTTCTGCTGAAAGTCAGGTCTGGACTGTGGTCTGTGTTCCTAGCTTTTGTTTGCTACCTTAACAAGATTGATCTGTGCCTGTGGTTCCTTCATAACATTTTGTAGAAATTTTTGTTCTTAGATTCTAATGAATCAATTTCAATTCAATTAGGGGGGGGGGGGGGGGGGGGGGGGGGGGGGGGGGTTGGAGACAATAATTCAGTTATGTCTTAAAAACCCATCAAAGGTCAAGGTTATTTTTAATGCTGGAATTTCCTTGATGTCTTGAATCATAGGTTTATTTGGATAAAGGTATGTAAGAATCAGGTGGTGAGGAAGTTTTCTCTGATTATTTTTTAGTTTTTAGGATTTCATTTACAAAAAATAAGAACAAGTTTAAAAAGTAATTATTGTGGATAGTGTTTTAAATGAACTAATAAATGCGGAAAAACTTGTTGGAAATTGGGAAAAAATGTGGGGATGGTTTAGGATAAATGCAATTATGAGGGTTGACATGGGATACTTTGGGTGCATAAGAGGTTAGTGTTAGCATGCTTGATTGGAGAAGGAAATTCCCTCCCCTTGGTTTTTCATTAAAGAAGGTTGAAGCCACCTTAGGGTTTAGTAAGGTTTTAACTTAATTGTTTTTTTTTTTTAAAATGTTCTGCTGTATAATATGACATAAGTATGATTATTTTGATAACTTTGTGTAATGTTATATTTTTTTTTTTAAAAAAAAAAGAATATTTAAGTGTATGTGCTTTAATTTGAATAACGGAAATGTATGATTTATATGATAAAGAAATTACTTATGATAAATTGTTTTATTATGACTTTAAGGAAAGTTTTAAAAAGAAAAAGAATTATGAGAACTTCCTCTATCTGAGTAATCTATTGTTTTTCAATGAGCACTTAAGTTTCTAAAGTAATTTACATGGTATGATGTTCAATATATAAGAAGATTGTTCTAAGTTAAGGTAACTTTTGTTATAGGTAGTGAATTTTTCACGGAGTTACTGACTGGATTTAAAGTAAGCTGACATTATGAATTTAAGAAAGACTGAAAAGCATAAGACAAGTTTTATGAGAATGTGTTATGAATTAAGAATTAAACAATGGATTGGGCTCTAACTATACTGGTGTGAATGTTGATGCGTGAATATTTTTTGAATTTTTAATGTAATGTGAGGCATGGCTCAGGCATTTGTATGCCATTAATGAAAGAAGCTTATTTGATGTCAATAGATGCTAGGGCCACGTGGGTGTCCTATGTTAGGGCCAAGACGCTGCTCGTATATGTTAATGAAGAAAGTTGGCGACCTATAGGCCATTTATAATAAGTTATGAAACCTTATTCTGCTTTCTCTTTCCTCTTAAGTGTATGCGAGCCCTTGGAAATATTTTTTAAGGCACTTTAAAATGAAATGGATATATTATTTCAGTAAAATCTTTAGTTTCGAAATAAATGATTATTGTTATCAAATGAATTTTCAAAGCATGATGTTTGTCGGTACATGGTTTTAAAAATTAAAATAGTGTTGTATTGGGTATATATAGAATGTTCCAATAATGAAAATTTATGATTTGAAGGAAATTAAATTATTATGTTTGTTAATTATAAGTTTATTTGATATTTTCTTTTGCTATAAATGTAAATGTAATGTTCTTGTTGATGAAAATTTAATATTTTAAAGTGTGTGGCCAGTGCAACATTTGGTAAGTGCCAATGCAACATTGGTAAGTTTGTCATTTATGAGCACCACTGAGTTTTATACTCAGCGCGTTGATTTTTATCACGCGTAAGTTGAAGTCCGTGGTTACTACTTGAAGATCAGAAGAGTAGCTTTAGAACAGAAGAGACTATTTTAGTAGTGGTAGAATTAGTTTGATGTGCTTAAGAATCATGGCATGTATAATTATTACATTTTCGGAGATTATGTTATTTGAATTATAACTTAAGAATGTAATGATAAATTAGTTTGGTGTATATATTTGGAGATAAGTATGAAATTTTATTTAATGTTTGGATATAAAATATGTTTAAGATAGTTGGTATGATTAAGAACATAAGGACTTGATGATTAAGAACATAAGGATTTTATTTAGAGTTATGAAGGTATAGAAGTGTTGTTGTGTTGCTGTGATGATTACTGGAGTTTGCTGGGGGTTTAGAGTTTAAAATTGGGAGTGTTTTTTATTCACATGTTTGGCGAGCTCGGTTTTTAAAGGGATATTCTTACAGTATTTCTGTAGGATTTTTCTCAATCATTATAAAGAAAAAATTACTCGCTAAACTTAGAAAAAATTACTCGCTAAACTTATAAATGATTAAATTCCACTTCTAATTAAATTTAATTTGATGTTATTTGGATTCATATTTTTTCATGTTTGGCGAGCTCGGTTTTTAAAGGGATATTCTTACAGTATTTCTGTAGGATTTTTCTCAATCATTATAAAGAAAAAATTACTCGCTAAACTTATAAATGATTAATCACTTCTAATTAATAATTTGATTTTATGATTCATATTTTATGTTAGGACAGTGTCTCCGGCACCGAATGTGGCATCCACAGTCGGGTCTCTTGGGGCTGGGCGGTGGGTGTTACATAGGTAGCGGGACCCTAACCAAACTGACTAGTCGAGACTTAGGGGAATGTGTCGCACGACCTAGAATCCTCAATAAACAATGCTAGAGTCGGGCTCTCCTTTGAATTACGCACTTTTCAATCATTTATGCTTTGTCTATAATTGCCATGCATTATAAGTATGCTCATGCATTGATGAACTAACACTCATGCAAAATGTTGATTTTTGATTTCTTAATTATGAGCCAAACCGTTGATTTATTTCAAAAGAAGCTGAAAACCTAGTCCCTAAACCCAATGATTTGAAACTAGTGCATTTTATCCTAAAAGCAAACTGAAATTGGAGTCCATCATGGGGTTTTTTCCTTAGTTTTTCCCGAAAACAGAAACAAATTAAGGTGGCGATTCCATCATATCACACACTCGTCAAAGTGCTCCAAAGAGCCAATTTAACACACCTAAGCGCTAAATCGAGCCATAATTAATCTATCCTAATCAAATAGAAGGAACTGTAAGGAGTTCCCCCCATTTTCCATGACGAACCGACCAATGGGCCCATCTTGATAGACTCCGTCCTTCAAATCTTTCCCATGGCACTCGGAAGGGGGCTTACAATTCTGGACCAGATATGGCCATTATGAGTTTTTAGTTATGCCTTTTGGGTTGACTAGTGCTCCAGCTGCTTTTATAGACTTGATGAATAGAGTCTTTCATCACTATCTGAATTAGTTTGTAGTGGTTTTCATTGATGATATCTTAGTTTATTCTAAGACTAAGGATGAGCATGATAGGCACTTGAGGATAGTTTTGCAAACTCTGAGAGATAAGCAGTTGTATGCCAAGTTCAATAAGTGTGAGTTCTGGCTTAGCAAGGTAGCTTTTCTAGGCATGTGGTTTCAGCTGATGGTATTTGAGTTGATCCGAAGAAGATAAAGGCAGTCCTTGATTGGACGCCGCCTAAGAATGCTATAGAGATTCTGAGTTTCTTGGGCTTGGCTGGGTATTATAGAAGATTTGTCAAAGGTTTTTCTCTTCTTGCTACTCCTTTGACAAAGTTGTTGCACAAGAATGTCAAGTTTGAGTGATCTGATAAATGTGAAGCTATCTTTGAGAAGTTAAAGGGTATGCTTAGTGAGGCTCCTATCCTTACACAACCGGTTTCTAGTAAAGACTATGTGGTTTTCAGTGATGCTTCACTTAATGGTCTTGGTTGTGCGCTTATGCAAGAGGGTAAGGTAGTTACTTATGCTTCTAGGTAGCTTAAGCCTCATGAGAAGAATTATCCCACTCATGCTTAGAGCTTGCTACTATTGTGTTTGCTCTGAAGATATGGAGGCATTATCTATATGGTGGGAAGTGTTTCATCTACACAAATCATAAGAGCTTGAAGTATCTGCCTACACAGAAAGAGTTGAATCTAAGACAGAGGAAATGGATTGAGCTGCTTAAGCATTATGACTGTGTGATTGATTACCATCCGGGTAAGGCTAACTTAGTTGCTGATGCTTTGAGTAGGAAGTCCATGTTTGCTTTGAGGGCTAAGTTTGCTATTATGTAATTGTGCAATGACGGTTCCACTGTGACAAAATTAAGGGTTAGACCGAATTTGGTTCAATAGGTTAGAGATGCTCAGAGTTCAAATGATCAGATTGCTGAATGGTAGAAGTTGACTTTAGAGGGTAAGAAGAAGAGATTTTAGATTAAGGATGATGGTTACTTATATTTTAAGGATCATATTTGTGTGCCTAAGATTCCTGAGTTGAGACAGATGATTCTTGATGAGGCTCATGTTAGTTCTTATGCAATGCGTCCGGGGAGTACTAAGATCTATCATGATCTTAGAGAGTTCCATTGGTGGTTGGAGTCCGGTGTGACATTGAGGGTCCTGTGAAAGTGAGAAAATTCTTCTTTAGTGTGAGTATAAAATAAAACACTAAAAGATGTCATCCAGTAGCAATTTTTTAGGAATTGGTCCTCCAATGTTTAATGGAGAAAATTACCATATATGGGTAATTAAAATGAAAGCTTATTTGAAAGCTTTGAATTTGTGGGAAGTTATAGAAGATGGAGTAAATCCAACACCTCTTGGTCCTGATCTAACATTAGCTCAAATAAAGAATTTTGAAGAGCAAAAGGCCAAGAAGCCAAGGGTATTGATATGTTTACATTGGGGTTTATCAAAAACTATATTCACAAGAATCATGGCTTGTGAAACTCCAAAACAGGCCTGGGATAAGCTAAAGGAGGAGTTTGAAGGTAGTGATAGAATGAAAATAGTTAAGCTTCTCACTCTAAAAAGGGAGTTTGAGGTGCTTAGAATGAAAGAAAGTTAAACAGTGAAGGAGTATGCTACTAATTTGCTAGAGTTGGTGAATAAAATCAGGTTGTTGGGGGATGAATTTCCAAATTTTAAAGTTGTGGAAAAGATTTTAATCAGTCTACCAACTAGATTTGAACCTAAAGTATCTGCTATTGAAGAATCATGTGATCTTAGGACTTTGTCAGTTGCTGAGCTTATTAGTAAGTTACAAGCTTAGGAACAAAGGTCTAACTTCAGAGATGAAAATGCAAGTGAAGGAGCTTTTCAAGCCAAGTAAAGGGAAAGACAACCATTAGAAGATATGTTTAGTTCAAAAACTTCAGACAAAGGAAAAGCTATCATAAGAGAAGGAAGAACAAGTGAGTTTCCACCCTGCAACTTTTGTAAAAAGCCAAACCATTTAGAGAAGGATTGCTGGACAAAGGACAAATCAAAGGTACAATGTAGGTTTTGCAAGAAATTTGGGCAGTTTGAGCAATTTTTCAAGGCCAAGCAAAATCAAACAAAGAATCAGAATCAGCAGCAGAATCAACAAAAACCTAACTACACTAATGAACATGAGGAGAATGAGACCGAAAATGTGTTCGTGGCTTCTCAAGTCACAAGAGATGCCAGTCAAGAAACTTGGTATATTGATAGTGCTTATACTAGTCACATGGCCAAAGAGGAGAGCATGTTCAATAAACTAGATAGATCAATTAACACCAAAGTGAAACTTGGAAATGGTCAAATTCTTTAGGCTTAGGGAAAGGGCTCAGTCGTTGTGCAAACGAAGGATGGTGTGAAACTCATTCATAATATTTTATTCATACCTTCCTTAGCTCAAAATATGTTGAGTATTGCTCAGATGATTACAAATGGTTATTCAGTAAACTTTAAGGGCCAACATTACAACATTTATGATAAAGGGAAAATACTTATTTTGTCCCTGAGATTTTACAAAATTAATCAACTCATCCTCGTATTTTTGACTATTAGGTATTTAGTCTTCGAGATTCAGTTTCGTCTCATTAAAATGGTCCTTCAGTTTCAAATCAGATATTTATTCCGCTAAATGAGATTAAAACGAACGAGAGAGGAGGTAGAGTTGTTTTAAAAAGACAAACTGTAGACGCTCAAATTTTGCCCCTAAAATGTTCAGTGATGCTGTATCGTTTTTTGTATAAAATTGGATTGGGATTCTTGATCATCTCGGTTTTTAGACCAATGGTCCGTGGCTAAAATTATCTATGCGTTTAACCATTTTTACTTTTCAGGTTACCAGGTGTTACGCGATAAATCGGGCTCGAGAAGTGCGTTGGGCTCTCTCGGCACACTTTTCGGTGCACCATCTCATTCTACGTGCCACCAGTCTAATTTGGTAAAAGTGGGCCCAGCCTTACTGCGGGTCCCATCAATGGCATTTTTGAGACGTCAGCCTTAAATGGGGCCACCTCACCCTCAAATGCTATAAATAGACATTGAGGGATGAGCAAAGGGAGGATTTTTTTTGGATAGCGTAAGAAAACTCTTGAAATTTTAAAACTCATTCTAAGAAATCAAAGGAAACCATTGTTTCCCTTTGTTCTAAGGTTGTGATCCATTGATTTTTTTTTTTTATAAAAAACTCTTAAGCATATTTTAGAAATCTTAAAAACTCATACTTTAATCTTGAATCTCGAACTATTGGATCAAGGACCATAGAGTTGGATTTCTTCATCCATTTTTGAACTAATCTTCAAAAGAAATCTTCGAAGGTAATTTTTGAGAACCTTAAATTTATTTCTTTATTCTTTTCTTTTCCTTTTCTGTGTTTTAAACACTTGTTCTGGGTCTGGTTATGATGGAAACTTAGGATCAACCACAAAGGAGTTTCTGTGCCTCTATGGCACGTGGTCTAAGCTAGTGGCGCAAGCCACTACATGTGGCGTGCGCCACAAGCCTGTGGCTCGTGCCACATGAGCCCAGATTCCCCAGTTTTTGCCTTGCTCATGCCAAAAGCTTTCCTGATTTGGGAAAGGCCTTGCGCCATTACTTGTAGCACATGCATAAGCATGTGTGTGAGCCCCCTTTCGAGCGCTATGGGAAAGATCTGAAAGACGAAGTCAATCCAGTTTGGCCCATTGGTCGGTTCATGACAGAAACTGGGAGGAACTCCTTATGGTTCCTTTGGTTTGATTTAGATCGATTATGGCTTGGTTTAGCGCTTAAGTAAAGTCGGGTTGGCTCTTTGGAGTTGCCACCTTAGTTTGTTTTTGTTTTCGGGGAAAGACTAAGGGAAAAACCCCGTGATGGACTCCATTTCCACATTGCCTTTGGATAAAATGCACTAGCCTCAAATCATTAGGTTTGGGGGCTAGGTTTTCAGCTTCTTTCGAATGAATCAACAGTTTGGGTCATAATTAAGAAATCAAAAATCAGCGTTTTGCATGAATGTCAGTTTATCGATGCATGAACATACTAATAATGCATGGCTTGCCTTTTGGATAAATGCAACTAGCCTCAAATCATTAGGTATTGGGGGCTAGGTTTTCAAGGGGCTTTCTTTCGATATGAATTCAACAGAATCAACAGTTTGGGTCATAATTAAGAAATCAAAAATCAGCGTTTTGCATGAATGTCAGTTTATCGATGCATGAACATACTAATAATGCATGGCGATTATAGACGAAGCATCAAAAAGCATAAATGATGGAAAAAATGTGTAATTCGGAGGGGAGCTCGACTCTAGCCTCATTTATTAAGGATGCTAGGTCATACGACATAATCCCCTAAGTCCTGACTAGTTAGTTTGTTCAGGGACCCGCTACCTAGGCTGAAATCTAAAGGCATGCCTTCGTACCTCGTTTGTATGAGGATTAGGATGAATGAAGTTCTACCATCAATTATGATGGTAGGGTTTTGAAGGTGCCACTCGGGGAGTGGGCTTATGGAGGGCCAAACAGACCGAGTTTGGCAGTATATAAGGTGTCGGATGGACTAAGCTTAACTGATAAAGATTTGAGTTTAGTGATTATACCCTCGTGCTTGTAACTCGACCGGATCGGAGCTCCACGTTGGAAATCGACCAAAGAGGTCGAGTCTCTCTCCAAATAAGTTAAGGTAGGGCGCGAGGACCTGAATTATATTTTTATATATACTAGTGTTAATTAATGAATTTTAAATTAATTCTTAAATTAATTAATAACAAATTAATTAACTAATAGCTTTGGTCTAAGGAAGACCAAAGTGTAAGTGAAAGTCGAAACAATGAACTTTTGAGTACCGAGACAGGATTTAACTCAACTAAGGAAGAAGAGCAAGGTTGGACTATTCGAAAACAATGAACTTTTGTTAGTACCGAAGACAGTATTTAACTCAACTAAGGAAGATAGGCAAGGTTGGACTATATTTGCCTTGGAAGACCAAAGTGTAAGTGAAAGTCGAAACAATGAACTTTTGAGTACCGAGACAGGATTTAACTCAACTAAGGAAGAAGAGCAAGGTTGGACTATATTGCCTTAGAATTGCAAAAGGGGATTGAGATTCATTGACGCTTGAGAAGCGCTCAATCAAGCAATAAGAGGTGAGGAAATGAGGGGGAGAAGTGTCTTTTTATAGGCAAAAGGGTCTACTTGGCGCGTCAAAATCATTACCAACCATCTCAAATTCGATACTTACCACCTCAAATTGGTATCGGCCTATCCTCCTTTGGCAGCCAAGGTCGGTACCATTTTAGGGGTCCCCGATACCAATTTGGAGGTCCTTGATTTCTATGCGGTTTGGTTTGATTTTCCGTGCTGTTTCGCTTCCAGATGCTGGTTCGAGGCCCAAACGACGTCCAATTGAGTTGATTCTTGATGCATTGGAACTGTGACAAAATTTCCTACATCTCGATGTCATGGCTGTTTCCCATTATGCCTTAAGTCTAGCTTGTTATGCCTTGGAACCCAGAATTAAGCCTGTTCTCATGCTCCGGTGCTAAAATCATGGTCAACAGTTTGCCCCCTCTGGAAGATTGGAGCTGATCAAGATCTGAACTTACAAACCCTGATTTCAACATTTCTAAATGGATTATTGGTCTGCAAACCATACCTTGGTAGGTCGTGGCGATGTCTGGAACATCCAGTGAGAGTCTCATTTGATTCCACGAATATTTTTTCGGAGTTCGTCTAATTCGGTTGATTTTAAAAAGTCCATATGACCTCCTTAGACCCTATAGGCAGTGCTGATAGGAGTCTGATTGCTAATGTGCCCTCCTTGGACCCTATAAGTAGTCGTGGCAGGAGTCTGATTATCTAAAAATGACTATTTTACCCCTAATTGGTGGAAAATCGATCTTTTACGTTGGTGGCCTGTTTTCATCTCTAATCAAAGTTGTAACCTCCTTAGACCTTGTAGGTAGTCTCGGTAGGAGTCTGATTGTCTAAAATTACCATTTTACCCCAATCGGCGAGAAAACCGGTCTTTTGCCTTAGTGGTCTGTTTTCAGCTCTGATCAAAGCTGTAACCTCCTTAGACCCTATAGGTAGTCCCGGTAGGAGTCTGATTGTCTGAAGATTACCATTTTCCCCTAGTTGTTAGGAAAACTGGTCTTTTACCCTGGTGGCTTATTTTCAGCTTTGATCGAAACTGTAACCTCTTTAAACCCTATTGGCAGTCCCGGCAGGAATCTGATAATTAAATTACTATTCTACCACCTATTGTCGAGAAAACTGGTCTTTTGCTTTAGTGGCCCGTTTTCAACTCTAATCGAAATTGTAACCTCCTTAGACCCTGTTGGCAGTCCTCGTAGGAGTCCAATTATCTAAAAATTACTATCTACCCCTTGTTGTCAGGGAAAATTGGTTAGACCCTATTGGCAGTCCTGACAGGAGTCTGATTATTTGGGATCGGTTTGGAAATCTTGTCCTAGTCTGTTCACTCTAGAGTTGGTTTGAAAACCCTATTTCTGATTTGGACTTGGTTTGAAAACCGTGTTCTAAGTCCGATTTCTCCATAGTTTGTTTGAAAACCTGATTCTAAGTTTGGAAACCCTGCTTCTGATCTAGACTTCGTTTGAAAAACCTATTTTAAAATCTGATTATCCTGAAGTTGATCTGGATTTGGTCTACAAAACTCTATTTTGAGGTTGACTATCTTGTAGTTGGTTTGGAAACCCTATTTCTCATTTGGAGTTGGTCTAAAAACCATGTTCTTAGATTGATTACCTTATAGTTGGTCTAGAAACCTTGTTGATGGCCTAGATACCCTTGTAGTTGGTCTCGAGACCCTTGTTTATAATCTGATCTTGGTCTAAAAATCCTATTTTAAGGCTGATTACCCTATAGTTGGTCTGGGTACACCTTTTGCTTCTTTGAACTTGGTCTGAAAACCCTATTTCGAGGCTGATTATCCTATTGTTGGTCCAGAAACCCTATTGATGGCCCAGATATCCTGATAGTTGATCTAGAGACCTTGTTTCGAGTTTGGTTATTCTGCGATTAGCCTGCTTACTTATTGTCTTCCTGTATGATTGGTTAATTCAACTTCATATAACACTTTTGCACTGTGATGCCCGTTTTGGGCGACTGTCTGTTCTAAAAGGGCACTAAAGGATTTGAGTATCATTTGACACATCTTTTAAAGGTATCTAGTAGTTCGAGATCAGGTATCCCCTTTTGGTCTAGATCATTTTGCCATGCTGGAGATTGACAGTGTCTACCATGGCTTATGGAGGGCATCGATAGAGTGTTGGTGGGATACCATCGACACCTTTCACATGCCGATTGGGGGAGTAGA